TTTTTCTTCCCCCCATTTTATGACGCAGTGGGGCTTCCTCCCCTCCCCCCTCCTCCCCCCAGCCTCTGTGTTTTTTGGGGGGAGTAGGCCCCCACGGTGAGAGGTGGTTACAGCCTTAGGTCTGCGGGGCAAATGTTTTCTCTGTAACGGAGAGAGGATCTGTTACAGGCGCAGCGGTTTTCCGCTTCTGGCCCGTACCCCCTCCAACAGATGGGGGAATTCAGCGTCTGTGAGAGGTATTGGCCTGGGAAGGGGAGTGAAAATGTTTGGAAGAGATGCTAAAAGAAACCCAAAACCCTAACCCCAAACCAAAAAAACCCAACCACCAAACCAAAAAACCAGGAGGATGCGCTTGCTTCTAGCAGTGACAAGAGGTTTGTCTCCCAACCGGCTGAAAACGCATGCCTGGCCCTGCGCACGCAGTGCCGAACCAAACCGCCTTCTGGCGTGATGCTGAAGGCTGCACAGACACAGCTGAGCCTCTTTCTCCTTCAGGCAGGAGCCTTTTCAGTCGTGCTGAGTAGCCCTCCCTGTGTGTGAGGGCGTCATGATCAAGGCTTCAGAAATTTTGGAGCTGCGTGTGCCGAGCTTTTTCTATTTTGGACCAGACAGTGTGTTATTGGGAGACGAGTTGCAGCGAATGCTTATTTGCATTGTAGGCTGCCTTTATTAAAAGGCGAGCTTTGGCTGAACCTGGAATTAATTTGGTGTATTTTTTTAGATCATGATTAAACTATCGTGACTAATCTAAAGCCAGATCAAACTATTGCAGTGCTGTTTTCTCGCAGTCTGAAAATTGCCTCTTGGTATTTGGCTGTGCTTGAAGAAGTCCACGTTCCACTGGGTTTTTCTGCTTAGGGAAATAAAGGAACATGTGGGCCACATCCTAATGAGGTGAAGAATATTCTGTTTCCAGAGCTCTTTTCATCCCACCTTTCACTCCATATAGGTGGAGTTCCATGAGAAAATGTATGTTCTTTTGAGACTGTCCTGTTTCACATCATTATTAGACAGCTCAGTGCATCTGTGCTGATACCTGTGGGGTTTTTGGGGGTGGTGGTGGGGAATGTGTGTGTGATTCTTTCAGTGGTTTGGATTTTTTTTTTTGTTGTTGTTGGAACGGACTCTTCATCTCTTCTGACAGAAATAATGTTTTGGTGTGCTATAGCGATAATTCCTGGCAACATCTAGGTTTAGGTATCAAAATAATTAACTATAACAGCAAATTACTCTTGCCTTTCAGGCCCCCTCCTGATGGAGTTAAATGATGTTCTGTAGTCTTGATTCTAAGTTAGTATGGAATGGAAGTTGGAAATTACTCTCTTGTGCATGCAGTTAGATAGGCTATAAATAAACCATGTGATACATGTGAAGACACCCTGATTTCTGCCCCTCCTGCCCCCATTTTCTGAGTCCTGGCCCATGATGGGATGACCAGGGTCATTAGATACTCTGTTCTGTGAGCAGACTACTTGAATTTCTAAGTTTGGCAGATAGGTTTTTGGTGTGTTTACATTGCAGCAACAGTCACAAAAGCTCTTTATGACACCATTAAGACATTTCAGTATGGCATCTAACATACTGTGGAACTATAGTTTCTAAAAGTGTAGTTTCTTCATATTTTATTACAAAGCATGGTAAGCAATTTTCTTGGTAGGTTGTGGCGCAGCGGAGCTGTAGAGGACCTAATTACAGGTTCATTATCAGAAGAGTTTAATTGTGAGCATTAATTAACTCAAAGCATGAATTTCTCAGATGTCATGAATTTGTTCTGCTGTGGATAGGTGTCTAAGTGAAGATTTTTTTAAAGTGATGTCCTGTCTGTTGTGCCCCCCCCCCCCCAAAAAAAAAGATGGGGGTGGCATATTCAATTTCAGTTACATTTGATATTATACTTAAGTATTAATTTTAAAAACTGTCATGGTATAAATGTCAGAAGTTAAGTTGAAGTTCTATGTAGTAATCTGGCTGTTCTGTCACAGAATGTTTCATTTCCAAAGCAATTAATGTGTTAGCAAGCATTTAGGCTTATGTGAAGAAGGGAAGCAATTATTTTTGCTTTAGACTTAGCAAAACAGTTTGCAAGATAAAGTTGAGAACAGAAAAGCTTTTAATAAGGGTGTGTCATGTGTGCTAATAGCCTTGGATACCTGCATTTTTCCCAATCTCTGCAGTATAAAATATACCACATCTGTAATTGCATACTTGATTTCTGGCCACAGAGTGCTGCTCGCTTTTAAATCATGATGGCATGGTACTTTCATATGAAAGGTGTGCCCAAAGCTGTTGTGCTTTTTTCCTCACCGTGTTTCAGGGGGCCTTTTGTCTCCATTCCCAAA